TATAAACAAAATTTCAGTTTCGCGATCCACATACGCATTATATCTGGTTTCGTCAAGAATATATCGTACGACAGAATACGATGCATGAATGCTCAAATAATTAATAATACTTTACGTTGCTTCAACGTTGATTTATGCACACGAACTGGCATACTTGCGCACTACACACGGTACGCACTCAACAACTTTTAATATTCGCGTCATTTACAAGATCGCGTCATTGATCGCGAGAAATTTTTAACTGAGAAAAATATCTGTTATTAATATAATATATGTTTACCTGATAATTTATTTATTATATTTTATTATATTTGACATTCGACCGCGACCGCGATCACGACCGCGCGCAATTAGTTTAGTTTCTCTAAGAAGAAGAATTCTACCCCACCGTTCCCTCATAATTTTCGAGACTTTCAATGTGTGTTATGTCACGGGAACCAAAGCGAAACCATTTACGCAAGTGAGGAAACCAAGTTTCTCGACACAATAACATCTAAATTATTAATGCGCTCGACATCCTCCGTCAGTAACGCGAAGCGTAGCCTTGTGGTCGCCATTATTTACGTAACATTCAAGTTACGCGATTTTAACTTACCACTAAACGCCTAGTCTATAACCCGACCGATATTCCCCGTGGAATGCGCCATGATAGAGAATGCAGATGAATTTTCAGTATAGTGAAAAATGAGAAACGAATCATGTCCACTGATTGTTTAAGGATTAGAGAATTTTACAGAGTTTAATCTTTATAATAATCAAACAATTCAAGGAATTTGAGCGATAAGAATGTATATTACAACCTTTGCAACCCTTCAATATTTCCAATTTGCAAATGTTTCCTAACTTTTTCATGTGAAATTGATAAAAATCCGTTAATCGCTTTTCCAGTCAAGACAGCGAAATTTTTGCGAAATATTTTTTTCAATACATCACATATGAGATCAAGATTGAATAATCTTTGCGGTTAACTTACAACTTAACAACGTTATGTATTCCTCGTGCATATGTAGATTCTGCACTTTTCAACAAGTCGCAGACTTGACGGGCAGCACATTTTTCCGCGACGAGTTAACCACTAATTAAACATTGAACGTTACAACAGTTCTGTGCAATAAAGACGGCAATGAATGTACTATAAATATACGTACATGAATAGATAGTATTGCTCGTATCATTCAATACGCCGCCGATCGGGAGAATCGGTTCGCAAGTTGCTCATTGCATATCTATTATATCTTTTGAAAAATTTTGAAAGATTTAGATATTTATCTTTTTGATTTAAAACTACGTACAGTGTATCCATTAGAATGTATTATATACTCTACGCTGCTCTTCTCTCTCGATCCCAAGAAATGATTGCTAGAACGAGTACGTTTCTTTTTCGAAAAGATTTGTAAAAATGAGTCTAATCATTGATCGATTGTTTTATTCTTTCAGGAATTCTACGATATCGTCGAAACACTTTGGAAAGATCGGGGCGTTCAGCAAAGCTTCGAGAGGAGTAACGAGTATCAACTTATCGATTGCGCCAAATAGTAAGTCGTTTTATTCTATATAAACTTATGAAAGAGTTTGACACATTAGGTTGATTGTTCAGGGGTTGAGTCGCAAGGAATTTAAACCGACATCATTCTCACGAATGGGCTGTCACGTTCAATCGGTCCAGCCGCAGTTTCATTTGGATGTGTATAAACATATATTGTATAATGATCAAATAAATGTACAACAAATGAATTTGGCCAAACATTTTTAACGGTCGATTAGCATTTCTTTGCAAATTCAATTAAATTTCGCGCGTTTATTCGTTGATTCGCTGATTATTGAAGAGATTTCTACACGTGAAGAGTACGAAATGCGGTTATTGTAATCTTCTACGGGGGTGATATCACGATAAGAAATCGAGTAAGATAATGTTTACGTGTCGATAACACCACCATACATTGCGGATTTATCGTCGTTGGACGCATAAAGTCTTTTTTTAGAATAAACCTCATTTAACAAACACACTTGATCGTTTATTCCATCTTATCGTTCGTTCAATAATATACTTGCAGATATCTTTGTAAAAAAAAATGTTTTTTCCATTTTTACATGTATGGACAAATTTTTTTATAATCGCCAAATTATCAGAGAAAATAAAAAAATTCATCGTATATATATATATATATATATATA